GAGTTAGGTTCCAAGATAAATAAAAACACATGACGCAATAGTTGAATAAGTCTTCTGAGCTATACGTCCGGTAGACAGACGGACATTTTTACTAGTTAAAATAAAATATAGATATTCAGCCTGTTCACTGGTTGGTTTATGGGCTAATAAGCTCGACTGGTGCTATTTGTTATGAGAGGAATTAATTAATCTAAATATTTAATAAACCAATACTCCAGTCTTGTGGAGGCGAAAATAATTGTGGGCTAGCAAGCGCCTGGCCTTGTCTTGTCGTGCGGCCTGCGTCCGTGCATCGTGTTCTCCCGTCTTGCCGTGTCTGATCTCCCGTTCCCCCGCGTGCTCTCTCTCTCTCTCTGGGCGACGGCTGGGCGACCGCCACCTCCGCCCTACACCAGGTGCCCGGGTCTTCTTCGGGCCCTTCACCGGCGATGAGCACCCACAAGGTACGCCCTACCCCTTTTCTTCCCCTAACTTAGGCTATTTGTATCCGGATCTGATCTGATTAGTGGTTACAAGTGTAGTATACATGCAGTAGCTTCGATTTATTTTGGCAAAAAACTATCGATGTATATGTGTACACCCATGTCCTTCACTGTGTCCGCTCCTGATTCTGATGGCTGCCATTGGCTCTTGGCCTGCTGCTTGTTTGCTAGGTCGCCAGTATGGGTCTGGCGAAGGATGGCGCCGAGTTGGAGGAGGGGTCCTTGGAGATTGGCATGGGTAAGTGCGGATTTGAGACTTCGCTGAGAAACTCACCACCAGGCTTGTTTATCATTTCTTCGGTCATGCATCTAGTGTAGGTTGTTATTTCTTACTGTATTTGCTTGTCTGATCCAATGGGCAATAGATAGGTTTGTGAAATTTGTTCCAGTTGAATGTTTTCTGAAAAGTGCTAAATGATCACGTAATCATAAGATACTAGGCAATCAGTATATTTCACAATTACATTTTGCAGGTCTTTGCCAGTAGGCTAGCAAGTTAGTTGTTTAGCTTGGTTGTTGTGTGGTATGCAGGCCCCAGTTCTTGTATTAAAACACATACATGAAAATCGAATGTGGCAAATCATTATATATGATGTGTTTCACATGCTTAATCTGCAGTGCCTTGTATGTATAGGTAAATTATATTGAGGAATATAGTAGAGGTTTTCTGCATGCATCACATATCACTGTGATTATTCTGTTTAAGGAACTTTTGAATCCTATTGTTCCTATGTTGCAAATCATGCAGAAAAAATGTTATCTGAAACATAGTTACTGGAAAACATAGTAGCAAGGCAGCAAGCAGTATTTTTTTTTTTCTCGAACTATGCAGGAGAGCTGCGTGTCATTTCATTAAGGTAGAAATAAAATACACGAGTCTGGTTAGACGATACTCTAGTACAAAAACACCACCAACACACACCCACTCACTTAACTAAAACAGGCGCGCCACAAACAGCCTGCCTTATACCCCCAAGGCCGGCATCCTGACCAAGAGTTCCTGGAGCTTTCTTGTTCCAGCACTGCACCAAAGATTGCCCTCAGCGCTGGCAGCTTTACAGTGTCATTATTAGTTTTGTCTCTTGTTAACCTCTGTAGTGACATCATGGATACGAAAGAATATCCTTTTAATTGACAAAGCAATGACACATTTGTTTATATGGTACTAAACGATTTCTTGATAAGCAGAGTATAGAACTGTCTCCGCCTCTCCGGTGTGGCAGGACCGCTCGTTATCTTGGACAAAGTAAAGGTATGGTTAGTTTTAGTTTCACACAGTTGCAGTTGCTATCACTGATTGCCCACTCAAAATGATTATGAAAGAACCCCCTGATCACACTCATGTGTTCATTACTATTTTCTATTCAAAACTATATTAGGGTCCTAAGTATCAGGAAATTGTGAACATTCGGTTGGGAGATGGCACTACTTGTCGTGGTCAGGTCCTGGAAGTCGATGGTGAAAAGGCTGTTGTGCAGGTTGCTTCTTTCCTATGGATGCGAGAATGATGATCAGATTTTCGCTTCTTTTAATAATCTGCTTTGCTTTACACACTATGACTAGTTAATCTGGATACTAAACCACATGTCTATTAAAGGTCTTTGAAGGTACCTCAGGGATAGACAACAAGTATACTACTGTGCAGTTTACTGGCGAGGTAGCATCTTATTCCAGCTTATTTGATTTTTTGCTAATTTCATTTCTTGTTCTTTGTTGTTTTTCTTGTACTTAAGTTTCAGATAATGTAGTCAAATGCCCAGTTTCTTGATCTAGACCTTAATCTTGGTTTCTGCGGAACATGAACCTGATTTCGTTTATGTGAATTATATGGAACCTGATATTGTAGAATTTGGGTAATGCAAACATCCAATATTCCTGCTGAAAAGTCTAGTGTTGAGCTTAGGCTTTATTGGGCTGTCTCAGTTAGTGTTATGATATTTGCATATAGTCACATAACATTCTAAACTGAATGGAAAGGGTCCATCAGGCATTCAAAACCATCCATAGTTTTTTTCCCCTATGTGCCTTTCCTCACTACTTTGCCCCTTTACTTGCATGTTATGACATGTGCCTTTTATTCCACAGGTCTTGAAAACTCCTGTCTCACTTGATATGCTTGGACGCATTTTTAATGGTTCGGGCAAACCCATTGATAATGGTCCCCTGATATTACCTGAGGCTTACTTGGATATTTTTTTTTTCTCGAAAAACGCAGGAGATCTGCGTCTCATTGTATTAAGAAGAAAGAGGGTAAAAGTACCCAACACTTACAAGACACCCAAACACAACTCACACACACACGCTACTGCAGCCAAAAAAAACACAGATACACCTAAGATGGCTGCAAAACGACCCACACAGATCCAAAACACTAATCTCCAGGGAGATGGGCTGACAAGAGGGAAAGGCCTCGGGCTCCTGCTGTGGTCCACAACCGGCGCTCCTCCCCAGCCACTACTAAAGCCCCAGCAACACTAGGAGCTGCTCCATCAAAAACACAACGATTACGATGGTTCCAAAGAATCCAGGCCCCCAGAATGATTAGGGAGTTAACCCCTTGCCTCACCAAACTAGAAGTAGCATTACTAGCTCTCTCCCACCAATCAAGAAAGGAATTTTCAGTAGGTTGTGGGGACAAGGCCTGGAGACCGACCTGCCGTAGCAAAATAAACCAGAACTCCCTAGCGAAGACACATTGAACCAGGAGATGGTTGATTGTTTCCTGCTCTTGATCACAGAGTGGACAGCCATCTGGGCAAGGCAATCCACGACGTGCAAGGCGGTCAGACGTCCAACACTTATTGTGTGCCACTAACCACATGAAGAAACGACATTTTGGTGGCGCCCAAGTCTTCCAAATCCTTTCCCATGGTGCAAAGAGAGTAGCACCTAAGAAAAAACCCTCATATGCCGCCTTGGCTGAATATTGGCCACTTGAAGAGAACCTCCAAATATGTTTATCCTCCCTTTCTGGCTGTAGAACAACGTCTGAAAGGATATCCCATAATTGGAGAACGTCAACCATTACTCCAAAAGTTATAGCCCCCTGTATGTCTGTGATCCATGCCCGGTTATTGAGAGCTTCCTTGACTGTATGCTGCTTGATCCGTCTCTTAGAGATGACAGCAAAAAGTCGAGGAGCCAGCTCTGATATACTCTGACCATGCAGCCACCTGTCAGCCCAAAAAAGGGTATGTTCACCATCACCAACTTCAGAAATAACAGCCACCGCAAAGAAGGCTTTCACCTGATCAGGGACATGAATTGGGAGATGAGCCCAGGGGCGGTTTGGCTCTGTTTTCTGCAACCACAACCATCTCATTCTCAATGCCCAGCCGAGGGTTTTTAAATCTGAAATTCCTAGTCCCCCGAGCCCAGTTGGCCGGCAAACCTTTACCCATGCTACAAGACAATGTCCCCCCCTCGCTTCCTTGCGACCACGCCAAAGAAAGCCACGCCTTATTTTGTCAATTGCTTTGATAGCCCAAGCTGGGAGGTCAGTCGCCATGACAATGTATATAAGCATACCAGTGAGCACAAATTGAACCTGAATCTTCCTTCCTGCTCGTGTCATCAACTCCGCCTTCCAGCCCGGCAGTTGATCAGCAATGCGGTCAACAAAGTGCTGTACTTGACTCTTATTTAGTTTTTTCAAGGAGAGAGGCAAACCTAAATATTTGCAAGGGAACTCAGCAAGGGCACAAGGCAGCAGGTTCTGAGTAATTGTCAAATCCAAGTCACCACACCTAATAGGCAGTACACTGCTCTTTTGAAGGTTTGTATTCAGACCCGAAGCTTCACCAAAAATTTGGAGGATATCCATTGTCACAGAAATGTCACTAACATCAGGTCGGAGGAAGAACACCACATCATCCGCGTACAGAGAGATTCGGTGCTGCAGATTTCTTGCTGAGAGAGGCTGTAAAAGACCCTCACTTGCCGCTTGGGCAATCAAGTGTCCCAAAACATCCATGACCAAGATAAATAGCATGGGAGAAAGGGGGTCACCTTGCCGTAGACCTCGCCGATGGGAAATACATTCCCCGGGGACCCCGTTCAAGAGGACTTGGGTGGTTGAGGAAGATAGCAGCCCACAAATAATATCTCTCCAGATTTGCCCAAAACCCAAGTGTTGCAAGACCTCCAAGAGAAAGGGCCAAGAGACCGAATCAAATGCCTTAGAAATATCCAATTTAAGGAGTATGCGGGGCTGTTTTTGTTGATGAAGATATCTAGCTGTTTGTTGCACCAACATAAAATTATCCTGTATGAAGCGCCCCTTTATGAACGCGCTTTGATTCGGCGAAACCATTTGCTGAAGACGACCAGCAAGCCGACTAGCCAATAACTTGGTGATAAGTTTAGCAAAGCTGTGTACCAAGCTGATGGGCCGGAAGTCTTTGGGCTGATCTGCACCATCTTTCTTTGGGAGCAGAGTGATGTAGGCTGAATTGAGAGTGCCAAAATTCATAAATTTCCTGCTCCAGAGTGCTGAGACTGCCGCCATGATGTCCTCCTTTATGATTGGCCAACAGGATTTGTAAAATCGTCCCGTAAAGCCATCCGGCCCAGGGGCTTTATCTGATGGCAGTTGCAGAATTGTCTTCCATACTTCTTCCTCACTAAAGGGAAGATCCAAATCAGCTAAGTCATGAGTATCAATTCCAATCTCATCCAAATTGACAGTTTGCAACCTGTCTGTGCAACTTCCAAGCAGATTTTCATAGAAATTATTAATAACTTCAGCTTTGTCTTGGTGGCTTGTACAGATGCGATCCCCGGAAATGAGGCGACCAATAAAATTCTTCCTCTTTCTATGACGGGCATGCAAGTGAAAGAGCTTGGTGTTGGCATCACCCTCCCGGAGCCAGCCAATGCGTGACCGCAGTCTATCAATAGTTCTACTCAAGGAAGCAAGGGCAAGACTGTGTTTCTTCAGATTATTCTTCAGCCACAATTCTCCTGGAGATAGGGAACGATTATCTTGAGCAATCTCAAACTGATGCAAGATTTCCCGCGTCAAGGCAAGCTGAAACTTCACATTACCAACCTTTTTGCTGCTCCATCTCTGTAATCCCTTAGCGGTTGCCTTAAACTTCTGGCTTAGAGTTAAGTAGGGGCAGGAGCCAGTAGGAACTGACATCCAGGCTGCAGCCACCGCCTCCTGAAAACCATCCAGTTTGGTCCAGAAAGACTCAAAATGAAATCTGCGCCTTCCTACTTTATTGTTCTGAAGTCCCAGCAAGAGTGGGCAGTGATCAGAGTCTTCTGAAGCCAAACTTTGAAGCAAACAATTAGGAAATTTATCCTCCCAGTCTACAGAGCAAAGAACCCTGTCCAATTTTACCAAAGTAGGGGAATCTTGCTGATTAGACCAAGTGTATTTGCGACCATGGAGGGGGATTTCTTTGAGGGCCAGATCATTAATGAATCGCCTGAACCGACCCATCATAGCCCTATTGTAGTTGACATTGTTCTTATCCTCATCCTTGTAAATCAAATTGAAATCTCCTTCTATCATCCAAGGCCCTTGACAGGTCGCCCGGATGTCACGAAGCTCCTGAAGAAACTGAATCTTATCCTCATTCCCCTGTGGTCCATAAACACAGGTCAGCCACCACGTCTGTCCATTATCCGTGGAGAATTGAATGGACATACTAAAGTTGTCCACCCTCTGAGCACCTGAGATGCCCACATGGTGCCTCCAAGCGACTAGAATACCACCACTAGCCCCAACAGAGGGCAGAGCTAAGTATCCTGTGAAATCAGACCCGAGAGCAGAGAGAATGACCCTTTGGGATATGGCTGTGATCTTAGTCTCCTGAACACAAACAATATCTGCACAAGACGAAGCTACCAGAGAGCGCACTGAACCTTGCCTAGCAGTAGAATTCAGACCCCTAACATTCCAAATCAAATTTTTTTGGATCCATTAAACACACTTAAAGAACGACCACAAATCTGACCCAAATCAGACTTTCAGACTTTCACCATCAGTACATCATCACTCCCGTGCTCCAGCTCCTCGTGGAGAGAGAAAAAAACAATGCGATCGAGCTCGAAGATGAGAGTCTCGAGAGCGGTTGCCCAAACAGCTTTGCATAATCGTTCGGGCCTGTTGATTTATACCTTCATGCTCGTTAATGATGCCGAGAGACCTCATCGCCTTCTTCTGTACTCTTCCTCCCATGTCGGTGAGGGACCACATCGGCCTCGGCGCTTGACAGAAGCCGACGGCTGCGGCGGAGGCAAACCCCTAGGAGGCAGCGACTTGCTTCCATGCTTGTCGACGGCGGGGACAGCAATAAGCCTCAGTAAAGCGTTGAACTATCTTGTCGAAGAATCTCGCCGGGCATCGAGGCGGAGTAGGAGGCACTGAAGGACGCCCACATTAGTCGCCGAACAGAAGGCTCGCCTTGCATGCCGCCGGGAGGAGGGACCGTTGCGGCGGCGGGAGCCACCACCCACCGGAAGAAGCATCGTTCTGCGGCGGCGGGGAACCGTTATGGCCATGGGAGGAGTAGTCACCGTTGAGGTCGCCGGGTCACCTGAATGATGGCGGAGGTGGAGCAATTGTAATCGCAACCACATCCCCAACCAACGAGGCCGGAGATGGAATGGCGGTGAGCAGCCGCCGCCTCCCCACCCACGAGGGGTCCTTGAGTGGTGGAAGCGGGCGCCTAGAATAAACTAGGAGCGGCTTCACTGGAGCTTGAGAGCACAATGGCGGAGTGACCAGGAGGTGAACTCGGGATGGGAGGGAAGATGATGGGGTTCGAGGTGAGGCCGGCAAATCCGTCGCCTCACCGGAGAAGAAACACTGAGGCGAACGCAGCGGTGAGGCCGGCAAGCACTCCGTTGCCTCACTGTGATCCTCGACTTCAAAGCACCAACCTCCAAGGCCTGACTTCTTTCGAAGCCCAAAGGGGAATCCATAGGCCCATGGGAGGCCAGCCTGGGGCACGAGAGACAATACCAGGAGCGTCAATTCCTCATCGACAGCAAACCGAACAAGCATGGGGGAAATCATTGATGGCGCAACATCGTCTGACGAGAAAGGGTTGGCAGTTGCTGGGCTGTCATCAGTAGGGCCCTTCAAACCGTTGGCAGGCGACGCAGTAATGGGTGGCATAGAACCGAGGTGTTCAATCTCTGGGGAGCCTTGAACATCTAGCGTCCCCTGGAAACCCGCAACCTGTTCCGGAGTAGCCTCGAGCGAGGAAGCCGCCATTATGACGGCGCTTGAAGGGGCCACCACGTGGCCAACGCTCACCCGCTCAAGGACAGTCCGACGCCGAGAACCCCCGTGACCATCGCCCTGCGCCTTCGGTTTCTGCGTCGGTGGCTCCCCCTGAAGTTCCTGTCATGCCTGTGCAAGCTTCCCTATGCATTATCAACTGGGATGATCGCATGGCTAGGGCAGAAGAGGACCTCGCGCATGCTGTGATCGTGACTGTCTGTGCTGCAGAGCCCTTGGCCCCGGCTAGAGAGGTGGCGGAGGTGCTCGCTATTCGTCTGGGCGTTGAGGCAGGCTCCCTGGTGCTTCGTCAAGCTTCCAACTCGAGTTATCTCCTTGTCCTCCCTGATATTGGCTTAGTCGAGCGCTTGGTGGATCAGCGACTACCCCCACTCCGCTCCCCTGCGTTCACCCTCCTGTGCAAGCGGTGGTGCCGATTGGCTGGTGCCTCGGGACGGACCCTGCCATGGTTGGTTGATCTTGAGCTTCGAGGAATTCCTGCGCATGTCTGGGAGACCTCGACTGTGGAGCAGTTCTTGAACCCTCTGGCCAGCATCCAGCAAGTGCACCCAGAGACCCTCGGGCTGGTGAACCTGGCCTCCTTCAGATGTTCGGCGTGGTGCATGGACCCGGCTGCACTCCCACCCTCTAAGGAGCTCTGGGTCGTCGAACCTACGGTCGCTGCCATGGAGGCCCCCCCGGTGAAGAGATTATTGTCCTACCCAATTGAAATCAAGTGCTCCATCCTACACGGGCTTGGCACTCCCCCTCCGCCGCCTCCTGCTCAGGGCGGGCCGCCTCCTGCTGGGGGCGATGGCGGGGATGTTTCTCCTGCTCAGCGGCGGCGTCGACGTCCATCTTCCTCGTCGCCGTCTTCTCCTACTTGGATATTTCTGGTGAGCTATTTTGCATTATGTGTAAATCTTAGACTTTGAGAACTCTGTAGCGTGTATTTTAAAGGGCACAAATTCACTAATGAACTTGGTCATTAGAAGGATCTGAGAGGTGCTGAATCATCCTTTTTTTTTTGGCGAACTTTCCTGTTTACCATATGATAGACTTATAAGGTCTGATACTATTCCAGGAAGTTCTATCAATCACAGTGAGAGAACCTATCCAGAGGAGATGATTCAAACAGGAATATCCACCATTGATGTGATGAACTCAATAGCACGAGGGCAAAAAATTCCTCTCTTTTCTGCTGCTGGTCTTCCTCACAATGAAATTGCTGCTCAGATATGTCGTCAGGCTGGTCTTGTTAAAACTCTGGAGAAATCTGGCAAGCACAAGGAGGTAGAGTATAAACTTAATAAGATGTTTTAAAAGAAGATATTGCACTCTCAAAATAGTACATAAGTTACTGTTTGATGTTGCTACTTTATTTATTGATTGACCTACATGTGGTTGGTTCTTACTCTAGTGCTTACATATGCTTGGCATCAATCTTAGGTTCCTGATTTCATCATGCCGTTCTTTTGAGCTAAACTTGCTGGTTGTGCTATTGTTGTATTTTCTGTTAGTGAAAGATTTATGTATGTGTTTCTAGCTGATCAAATAGATAGCTGAACAACACTTATGAAGTTTTCAACTCTGGATTTTTGACATACTGTGACAACCAAGTAACTAACCACAATCTGGTGAAGTTTAGTCTGTTTACTTGTTCTGCAAAATAGATTATTGATTCTATCACTCATTTTAATTCTGGTTTACTTTACTTTCAGAGTGGCGTTGAGGACAACTTTGCCATTGTGTTTGCTGCTATGGGAGTAAACATGGAAACAGCACAATTTTTCAAACGTGACTTTGAAGAAAATGGCTCAATGGAACGGGTCACCCTTTTTCTGAATCTGGTACGAAATTTATTGTTATATGGCTATTAACATTGTAACAAATGAAATTTTGATGAGTTAATGTGTTAGTATTAAAGCTGACTCTTGCTCTCTGTTCTCTTTATTGATTTACAGGCAAATGATCCCACTATTGAACGGATCATCACTCCTCGTATTGCTCTGACAACAGCAGAATATTTGGCATATGAATGTGGGGAACATGTTCTTGTCATTCTTACAGACATGAGTTCATATGCCGATGCGCTTCGTGAGGTATTGAATTTGTTGTGTATTACCATATTTTCTCATATTATATGAGCTATCCGATTAATACTTACTCTTTGAACTTATTCTAGAGTTACTTGGAGCAAATTTCATCTTGCAATTTTTTTGGGTAATACAAATCAATGGAATTTTAATTATAAGTTAATGCCATTTATGTCTAGGTCTCAGCAGCATGAGAAGAGGTGCCTGGTAGGCGTGGTTATCCTGGGTATATGTATACTGATCTGGCAACCATATATGAGCGAGCTGGGCGTATTGAAGGAAGAAAAGGCTCAATTACTCAAATTCCCATTCTAACTATGCCTAATGATGGTAAGCCATGAAACTAACTATAAATTTGCAGTTAGCATGAGCATAGTGTCTAGTGTCTTAGCAAGTAGCACTCCTGCTCAGTGTTTCAAAGGCGATGCCTAGGCGTCCAGGCAGACCCAGCACTCACCTGGACGTCTAGTCGCCTTTTAAACATTGCTCCTGCTTGGATTGGCCCGCCTGCTGCCACAGTGTAGTATATTTCCTCCTGGGAGGACTACTTAAATGTTGATTTGGTTGTAGCTTTTCTTTTCCCATGAACACTACTTTTCTGTACTTCCAAATTATGATACCACATCCTTTGTTCTTTGGTGTTTTCTCAACAGATATCACACATCCAACTCCAGATCTTACTGGATACATTACTGAAGGGCAGATATACATTGATAGACAGCTCCATAATAGACAGGTTTGTTTGCATGTGTACTCTAATTGTAGAAGTAGCTGTGTCTTCTCTTATAGCCTTGCATTCTACTTCTCTTCTTTCATTTCATGGCATTAACGAGATGTATGATTTTCTATTTGCCTCTTAGATATATCCACCCATCAATGTCCTGCCATCTCTCTCGCGGTTGATGAAGGTGCCAGTCATTACAATCTTTTTACGCTGTTGTTTCTCTTAATGTGAAATTACATGAGTAATAATGCCATAATTATTCACCTGCAGAGTGCTATTGGTGAGGGTATGACACGTCGGGATCATTCAGATGTGTCTAATCGGGTATTTGTTTGAGCCTTTCAGTGCAGTGATTAGGATTCATTCTGCCTCTGATATTTTAAATGATCAACATGACTTGCTGTTCAGCTTTATGCCAACTATGCCATTGGGAAGGATGTTCAAGCTATGAAAGCAGTTGTTGGAGAGGAAGCACTTTCATCCGAGGATCTGGTCTGTCAATAGATTTCTAACTTGTGCTCAAGTATTCTTTTTAAGTTTCTAAGTTTCATTCATTATGACCGGAAGGTCCCGGGTTCGAGTCGCGGTCTCCTCGCATTGCACAGGCGAGGGTAAGGCTTGCCACTGACACCCTTCCCCAGACCCCGCACAGAGCGGGAGCTCTCTGCACTGGGTACGCCCTCTTTTAAGTTTCATTCATTATGCCTTTTCTTTTTATTGTTATATGCAGCTCTATCTAGAATTCCTTGACAAGTTTGAGAGGAAGTTTGTAACACAAGGTGCATATGACACCCGGAACATTTTCCAGTCACTTGACCTGGCATGGACATTGCTTCGCATATTCCCTCGTGAACTTCTCCACCGTATTCCTGCAAAGACCTTGGATCAATACTACAGCAGGGATGCCACCCATTGATCTGTTCATCCAGCACAGAAAGAAAACTCATTTCACCGAAGCGCAGCTTGATTGCTTGAATAAAGAGGAGAGTGCAAGGACTTGTGTCTTTTTTGTTTTTATATATATATAGTCATCCTATTCTTTCAGTCTCAGGCGGCTTTTGTAATATTATGCCTGTATATACTTGAATCCTATGGTGGATCTCATTGTTGGATGCAAGTGCGTAGGAGCACTGTAAAGTTGTATTGGCTGAAATGCTCGAATGTGTTGGTTATATTTGTTTATCTCTTTGCAAATTAATCAAACAATAAATGTCTTAGTAATATTTCTCTCCTTATCTATGTTGCTTCTGCTGCTCATTGTATTGCACAATCCTTCCCTTTTTGTTTTTGATTTTGTTGAGGATAATTAATGAAAACATAAACGCATGAGATCACAATCTATGCTGAAGTGACAGCCGTTTGCACCTCTGACCACTATTTTCTTAAATATACCATCTTCACAACAATTCATAGGAGTAGGGTATGTATATGTGAGTTCATAGGGGTTGGTATACAGCACTGTGTATGGATGATTGAATGTTTATCTGCACTATGCGATTTGAACGGTAATCCTACTTGATGTTCGGATGCATCAGACGCAGGCCCTTATCCCACTAAGCAGCCCATTGCTCACCTCCCCTCATGAAGTCTTATCCATTCACACGCGTCCTGTGGAACTCCTGGCCTGCGTCTCCTGTTCATCACCAATAGCTCATTCCGTGCCGCGCTGCGCCCCCATCCTGTGTCGGCCACCCCGTGCCTGCAGCTGACCGACGCCTCTCCTGGGGCCGTCGTCGCATAGGCCCCACACACCTCTACCATGCAGATGCGGCCCGCGCGCCAGCCTCTCCTGCATGTGGCATACAAAATGGCCGTCGCCTATGGCCGCTCGGCCACTGCCATGGCAGCTAAGCTGGCCCCGCCCCGTTTGCATGGGCACCTGCGCCGCGCCGTGCACCGGCCGGCCAAGCCTCAACCGAGGCCGGGCCCCATCCCCCACCAAGCTTGCTAGCTACCGCAATTTCTCACAAGGTAGGTCCGTGGCGGCCGCCGCTGTTGTGTTTCAAGTGTTTCGGACTTATGTTTCATGTGTTTCGTCTAGATGTTGCCAAAGTAGATCTGGGACGTTGCATATGTTGCAATGACAATATACGCATGTTGGAAGCCTATGTTTCAAGTGTTTCAGGTGTTTCAGACGTATGTTTCATGTGTTTCATCTGGACGTTGCATATGTTTCTACGGCTATACACATATGTTTTAAGCGTATGTTTCGAGTGTTTCAGACTTATGTTACAAATGTTTCATCTGAATGTTGCAAAAGTAGATATGAATATTGCATATGTTGCTATGTCTATACACCTATGTTTCAAGCGTATGTTTCAAGTGTTTCATCTATTTTAGACGTATGTTGCAAGTGTTTCATTTGGATGTTTCAAAGTAGATCTCAGGGGAGCACATGTTGCAATTACGTGTTGCTGCTGCATGGGTCACCTTATGTCTTCAAAAGTATGCTACTGTGTGGGTTATCGTGCTACCGTCGGTCATCGAATCGCCTGGTGCTGCGTGCATGCATGCGGGCACGTGACCACAGCGTCTGCTGGTGATGGTGCTATGTGTATGCATGCGAGCGTGGGTCACCACGGTATGTTTCAAAAAAGTATGCTGTTGCTCTTCTGCGTGGGTCACTATGCCGCCTATTGGTCTTGTGCGCATGTGACCACGCTGCTGCTGCTATGTGTGCATGCGGGCGCGCGTGAAACTCCAAAGTGGGCTCGGTGGTCCCCCAAGGCTGCTGCTGTGTGTGTGCATGCGTGGGTGAGTCGTTTTTCTCGCAGGAGCGTGACGGCGGAGGCTCAGGAGCTACGTCCGGACTCGTCATCCGTCCGGACGTCTAGGAACTGGCCCTTCGGTCGATTTGAAAGAAAATCTTCGCAACAATGAAGTTCTTTTTAAAAAGGGAAAATTGGCTAGCTGACACTAAAAGTGAAGGTCGTTGGTTGAAGGACATCTAAAATAGAGTCATTTGCTGAAAGACACTTTCGTTGCTGATAATTATGCTGCTGAACATTGTGCTCCTTATTTTATTCATTTCTACTTGTTGGTGGGGAAATGACATTCTTGTTCATGCTCCTTTCTTCTTTCTCTCTTCCTGTTCTTCTCCCCCGCTCACCGTTCGGGCTCGGGCAGGTGCGTGCGGGACACCACCGGCCGCCTGCGAGCATGCAGGAAGCACCGCCGGCGACCACACAGGAGGCGCGGCAATCTGTAGCATCAGTTCAGTTTTTCCATTCATTCATGACAAATCAAACTGAAATACAGAAGTACGAGGAGCTCAGGCATCCGGCTTCCGAGCTAGCCGCCGGTGGTCGGGAGACCGTCCGCCGGTACACACACACCTGCAGGATGCCAAGATCAGAAGATGCAGACAGCTTGCTCGGAAGGGATGGACGGGAAAAGCTAGTAACTTGGTGCAGGTTGCAGTACATCGGATCCAAAAGCACCGGCGGCCACCTCCCGTATCCGCGCTGCATGCCGTCTCTCGGGATCGCGTTAGCCTCCGGCCGGGATTTTGACGGACGGCGACCCTGGCTGGAGCGCAGACGCCACCACCACTAGAAGGGGAAGGGGAGCGCGCGTCGGTCGGGGAGGAGGCGCCTGCGCGGCCTCCGGTAGAGGGCAGGTGGTGGCGCCGCCGGGGGAGGGGACGGGAGGGGGCTTGCTGCCGGATCCGCCATGCGTGAGGTCGGGAAGCACCGCCGGCGAGCATGCAGGAAGCACCGCCGCCTCCTCCTCCTTTGTCTGTGCACGTTTGAGAGAAGGCAGGAAGGGAGTCCGCACAGCCGGGGACCTGCCCGATGCGGCCTACCGGAGTGGCAGCGCAGGCGCCGGTGCAGCGCGGGTCCCGCTCCGATACCGAGGCTGGGCAACCGCGTGTTCGCGGCGCGCGCGTCCAGGTCGTCGTGGCCCATCCTAGGCCGCGCGCCGGGCACCCACGGGCGCGGCTAGACAGCCGTCCTGCTCACGCGCTGCTACTCGCCGCCGGCGCACCTTCTCCCCGCCGTGCCGTTGCTGCTGCGCCGCCTCTCCGCCATCAGCGAGCCCTCCCGCCGTCGGGCTCGACCAGCGCGCCCCTCCCCTGCGGTGCTGCTCTCCTGCCGTTGTTGCTCCATCCCCTCCCCGTCGTTGCTCTGCTCTCCAGGCCGGGATCGGGTGCGAAGGTGCAACAAAGGGGGCAAAAAGAACATTTCACGGCTGTTCTATGTACTCAACCGATGGAAATGAATAAAATAAGCCGTGCGGTGTCCAGCAACATAATTGTCAGCAACGAGAGTGTCTTTCAACAAATGATTTTATTTTAGGTGTCTATCAGCAAACGACCTCGACTTTCAGTGTCCGCTAGCCATTTTTCCTTTTTTTAAAAACGGTAATGCTCTCGTGAGGGCATCCGGGAACGGACGGATGTGGCTTTCCCACTCGCTCCCGTCTGCACCCCTTCAAAAAAGATTCTCTCTAGTGCGCTTGGCCTCCACTGTCATGGCCTTATCCGCCACTCCATCGGACCTTCGCGCCTAACTCCACCGCGCCGCCCGCCTTCCCTACTCCGCGCTCTACTGCGTCGCTCGCATGCGCCACGCCATCCGCCTGCCACAGCCACCTCCGCTGCCTACTTAGCCGCCGAGCAAGTGCTTGCCAAGGGTGCGCTGGCCCTGGGCACCGAGCAAGTGTTCGCCCAGGGTTGCTCGCGCATATGCTCGCCCAGGGTGCTCACGCGCCTCGCCTAGGTGCTCACCCAGGCCGCCGAACAAGTCCTTGCCCAGGGGTGCATCGACGAGCCCCATGCGTCGTCGCTGACCTCCGCGTCGGCGTTGAGCTTCGTGATTCGTCCAAGTTGTAAGGTAACATTGCATGCTAAAAACACATGTTGCAAGAGTATGTTTTAAATGTTTCATATGGATGTTATTGCAAAAATAAATTGGGACGTTGCATATGTTGCAATGGTTGTACGCGTATGTTGCAAGTTTTTGTTCCCAAGTGCGTTTATTTGGATGTTACATATGTTTCAGACATATGTTGCAAGTGTTTTATCTGGATATTACATATGATTTACGTGGGTTTCAAGTGTTTTTCAGGTGTTTTTGCAAGTATTTCAGATGCATGTTTCAAATGTTTCATCTGTCTTCAGACACATGTTGTAAGTATTTTGTCTGGATATTACATATGTTTTATGTGGGTTTCAAGTGTTTTTCAGGTGTTTTTGCAAGTATTTCAGATGCATGTTTCAAATGTTTCATCTGTCTTCAGACGTATGTTGCAAGTGTGCATCTGGATGTTTCAAAAGTAGTCACGTGTTGCATCTCCCTCCTCGTTTTTCTGCTACCTTGCCTCGGTGTCTCCTCCTCCCGGCGCCGGCTGGGCATCCGTCACCCCCTCCCCTATTTCTCAATGCTGGTGCCGTTCTGGGTGGCATGGGCCCCGTGTGGACGGGCAAAATGGCGTGGGAAAATAGACTGCATGCACGGGTGTCCGGACACCCTGTCCGTCTGGACATGCGGACGCTAGCAAGCCCATTTTAAAAACCAAACCTGGCAGGCGTACAGGTTTAATAAAGAAAACAAAACCTTACCAGGTTAATTATACATGTGCGGTCATTGAACTTGATCTAAGTCCAACTCTGAAAGGATCTAGGCTATAAGATTCTATTTGGATGCAAAGTATTTTTGTAGTTTTATTAGACAAAATACCATGGCTTTATAGTAGACTTCAGTTTTAAACTGTAATGAAGTGTTTGGATGGAACTGATCTTACAATTTTTAAAACCATAGTATTGTTAAAAGTGTAGTCTTTATGGAGTTTTATAACTCTAATCTACTCTTCTTTTTCCCTAAACCATGATTTTAGATGTCTATGGACTCTAAAACCACAGTTTCTTAATAGCATGGTTTCTGAATACTATGACATCCAAATAGGACTAAGCTG